AAAAAAAACAAGATAAACATCCATGGCATAAAATGCTTGTATCAATAGTTGATGTTTTTCAACATTTTATATCACATTCAAATAATCATGTACGTTCATATGTATTGGATGCATTTCCATCATTAGCACATTTACTTTCAACTATAGATGAAAATTTATTTTTACCATTAGTACATAAATTATGGCCAGGTCTTATTTATCGTCTTTATGATATAGATTATAATATACGTATACGTTGTTTAACAACAATACAATGTTTATGTAATATATGTTCAGATTTTGTTGATCGTCGTATACGACAAGATATATTACCAATACTTATACAACATCTTGAAAATAATCGTTTAATATCATCAACAAATAAACTTGAATATCGCTATATGAAATGTCTATTAATAAATATAGGAACAATTATAAATGCAATTACAATAAATATAAATGATATTGAAAAAATTATTTTAATACTTTTTCAATATTTAAAAATTGAAGAATTAGCTTTAAATGCATATGAACAATTAATATTATTAATAGATAAATATTCGGATATAATTTGGTTACAATTAATTTTACATGATGAAAATGAATATCGAAAAGGATATTTTAATAAAATGAAAGTTTATAAACCTGAACCTATGTTAACAATTGATCCTAAATGGAAATCAAACTTATTAGTTTGTTTAAACAAATATTAGAGAGTTGTTATTCTTTTCTTTTATCTCTTTTTTTTTTTTTTTTTTTTTTGGAATAAAGTTATGTCCTCCGAATGATATAAAAATATAAAAGCACGAACTATCAAGTATTTGACGAACTAAATTTCTTTTTGTTTCTCGTTATTATTGATGTAATCGAACAGCTGAAGAAATGAAAGGAATAGAAGTGTTCGTTTTCATTTTATCGCAATGATGATAGAGGTATAAAAAATGATGAAGAAAAAAAAAAAGAAGCAACAACGAACGAATCATGTTATCGTAGGTATCATACGATTTCAATTAGCTCTTCTCGCTAGACTTCATGATCTATATGTGTATGCGTCCAACATATAAAGTTCAAACGGCATCAAATTGGAAATGGCATCATCCATGAAAAGCTTCTCTATTTCTCTCTCTCTCTCTCTCTCACTCACTCACTCATTCATTCGCTTGCTATTGATAGATTTCATTAATCATCAACAACAAGATGTATATGTATGTGTATGTTGTTATTGTTCGCTTAGTTTCAAAATGTCAGTATGTGTTGTGAGGAGGAGTAAATTAGAAGAACACGAAAGGTTCTTTCGAAAAAAAAAGAGACAGAAGAGCAAACGAATACGAATGCATCTTTTTTTTTTTGTTCTTGTTTTTCTTCATCTCGTATTTGATGTTCGCCAATTGCGTTATTGTAGTATTATTTGCTTTTTGATATATATATATATATATAAATCATCATCCGTTCCGCAATTGAACACAAGCTCATCAAATGATAACGTGAAATAGATACATCGTTTTATAAAAAAAAAAAAGATGGAACCAAGTGAATAAAACATTTGAGAGAATGTTCCGTTAATATCATTTTTTTCTTTCATTGACTATACATTGATTCTTTACTCTTCATATGCGTGTATATATATATGTACTCAACACCTACTTATCAATTGAATAGAAATTGTATTCAAACAATATGAATACAGTATGTATTTTTTTTTAATCATTATTATTGAATGAAAGGTTTTTCAAAGTAGAGGAGAGAGCTCTTCTTGATAATTGGGCCATATGTAATAGAGAAATTGTCATGGGGATTGCTCTCTTCTTTCTTCCTTTCATATCATCGATGATTTAAAGCTTTATTTTGTTTTTAAGAATTTTCTATTATTAGCTGTACAATAAAGGAAGAACAATTCAATGATCAGCAGATAATATAAAGAACGCTGTCATGGAATTGCTCTCCTAGCTTGGCAGTGAATTCAGATTTTCTTTTTTTTTTGTTGATAAATCATAAAATTACAGTATATTTTTCTAATTGTATTAAATTGAAATTAAATTTAGATAAATAACATGGTAATATGTTCAATATCATTTACTCTTCTATAAGTAATTAATAATGAATTGAATCTTCGAATACATGTTTATTTCGATATCGTACATAGGTGTATTCTTCACACTCAGAATGCCGTACTTTCATATTTCATAAAATACAATCGTTAATAACAATGAATGTTCATTGAAAAAAAAGGAACATAAATAAAATATATGTATTTTTTTCTTCTGACAATAGTTCTTTGATAATTTAAGATACAAATCCAATTGTTGATGATGATAGAAAAACGAAAGAATATATGAGAATAAAAAATATATAAATTATTAATGATAATTGATTTCGTGTCGATAAATTACAATAATTTGTATTACAACAATCAACAAATGCACCTTGACCAAAAGAATGTGAAGAACTTGGTGTACAACTTTGTACACACCCTTTAGAGATTTGAGCAGCTCGATTGAGTACACGAATTGTATTTTTCTATGAAAAATAAATTTTTGTTTTTAAATTTATAATTAATAATTTTACCACACAAATGGTTTGTGATGATGTACAAGTAACAGCTGAGACTAATGATGATCTATTATCATGAGGCTCGGGACATGGATCACATTTCCAACAAAGTAATTGAGTCGAAACTAAATTTAATCAAGTTTTATCTTTTGTATATTTATACAAAAAATTTTTATACCTAATTTAACATAGAAGATAAATAAGAGTATAGCAATGATTAAAATTTTTAAAAGGATTACAGCAGTCATTCGTTAAATCGATGATAGAAAGTTTGGTGTCTATATGTGCAAATGATGAAAGTCTTGTGTCGCTAAAGAAGAAAAAAAAATAGCCAATTATTTATTTAATGAAAGACTAAATAAAAATATTTCTATTGATTTTATTTTTTTTTTATTTTTCTACACCGAACTTTTTCATTTCGTTAACAAAAGAAGAGGAAAAAAACTGATGTGAATGAACTGTAGATTTTAAATAAGTGTCACGAACAATTCTGTCATTTGGATTATTGTTGTCTTTATGAAATAAAATCAAGATTTAAACATTGTATAAATGAATTGTGAAAAAAAAAGAACTTTTTTTTTTCTCATTGAGAATTAAGTAGTATATAAAGTAAATTTGTTGATTTTGGATAAAAGATGCCATGGCAACGATGTACTAGGTTTAATTAAAGTCGAAAATTTCGTTTTTTTTGCTGAGAAAACACGATATCGTAAGTAAAGAATTCAAAGAAAAATCTTTCTATTGAATAGAGTGAAGTTTTATTTTGTAGATTTTTTAAAAATTTGAATTTATTCAGTAAGAAAATGTTACATTATCATAAAGCATTTTTTTATATTTTAGCAAAAAAAAGGTGATGATTTCCATCAACAGATAGAAACGAGAATTCTAGTTTCATAGTGTTTATTTTTTCTTTTTGTCTATTTCGCTTGTTGGTATCCAAGTATCAATGGTAAGATTTATTGAATATGACGAGTTAGTTAAGCATAGAAAAACAAAGATATGGATTTTGTTTAAATTATTGAAGTGGAAGATAATTCATATTCGTATTTTGTTCATTTTAATCTTTATGGTTAGATTGAAATGTTAGTCGAAGGAAGCCATTTAATGAATGGAAGACGGACAGTTGCTCGCGGATGTGAGTGTAGGTATTAGAGAGCAGTGGATCCAAGTTTTTGTGGAATCAGGCTCAGGTTTGGAAGATCTCGCTGTTCCGTAACGGGTATGATAGGTGTTGGTACTGGTCTGGGTGTTCTCTTCGTTCGCACTCATGTGAGCAAGTGTCTTTGCGAGCGACTGTCCTAAACACATCTTTATTGAGCATTTTGTAGACATAGAATTCTCCGATAATAGTACTTTTAAATGACCTCGAACTGCTTCTAATATAAATGAATTGATATCACGCTTGCATTTTTTTTATTGATTTATATTTTCGATTATATCGATGAACCTTTGAATGTGTTTTATGATCAGGAATAAAGTTATAAATAGTTTACATGATTTACTGTCCGCAAATTTACTTTTCATTGATTATTTGGTAGAAGAGAGGATGTGTATCTGATTCTGAGTCTTTGTTGCACCCATATCCTTCTAATCATTGATTTGTTGCCAATAGGATTCTAAAATTTTTTTTTTTTATTTAAAATTGATGTCCTTCTAATAAAATAAAACCATACAATAACGAGACATGTTATTGTTAGTTGTATCGATAGAAAAAAGTGATCTTTTTTTTTTCTTTCTCATTCCAGTTTTATAATGTAGAGATCAATTGAGTAAACATATTTCGAGTAAAATGACCATGAATGTATGAAGAATGAGTATTATAGTTTGTACTTTATATTTGATTTTATGAAAGAAATAAAATCAAAATAAGAACATAGATGAAGAGAAAATTTTGATGTTTTTTATCAAAAGAAGTTCTCGATTATTTCTAATGACAAAATTACTTGTGATACATTCTGATTTTTTTCATAAGAGTTTAATCTTTATGTTATAAGTGAATACATTTCAATCGGAAATAACTATGGCCTATAAAGAATGAAACATTTTAATTTCGATTTTTTTTGAACGGCTCAAGATATAATTGATAGAATTTGTTTTTATAATGACTATGCGATAGGGAATTTTCTGCTGTACAAAAGTATTTATTGTGTTTTTTCTCGACCAAAAAGTTTGAAACCTATTCAACCGACCAACTGAGATCTCCTACTTTCTGAAGACATCTTTAGATTTATGTCAGTCAATGTTCATCAAGTCCGATGCTAAAAATAAAGAATTTAACATCAATAGATACAGAATTTTATACGTTATGTTTTCAAGGTTCCTAGTACTGTTGTTCAGAAGCAAAAGACTGTATTATCAGGAAACATTCTTTTTACAGTATTTTCAAATTTTTTATTTAAGAAATTTTGAAAAATACATCAACAGATTAAAACAGCCATAGAGAATTCTATAGCATATTTGAAATGTCAACAGAGTTGCTATTTAAGAAATTCTGTCCTTTTTTGGTATTTTTTTGACTGGTACAGTTGAATGAATGAGTAGTTTTCAATCTTCTGAATTTGTCACCAATATGACTATCATTCGCTCAACTTCGATTGTTCAATGGTGTATTCAACATAATCCTGAAAGAATATAGCTGTTATTACTTTTACATGACCAACTTTAAACTAAACTATTGGTCTATTTTATTATACATTTCTGATTTCTTTATTAAAAGCTGAAATTCTCTAGTGAATATTTAACAGATATATCTTAGCAATTAATTGGTACTGTTGGCGATTCAAAGCGGTGATCTTTGTTTTGTTTAATATCAAAGAATGGTGTTTTCTATAGAACTAAACATCTTGAGGTATAGTAAATTTTTGTTCATTCTACAGAAAAAGAAATGAAAACGATCAGAATTAGAATTAGCTTCGAGCAAATTTTTTTTATATTAAAGATGACATCGATAAGTTTGAATAATAAGAAATTTTTATGTGTATATAGATATTATTTAGTCATTTATAAAAGAGCAAAAATGTCGATTGAACAACCAAGCTAAATTCGAATTCCTGTATGAGAATACTAAAGAATTACGCTAAGAACAAACGAAATGTCCTCATTGACCTCAGTTATACAGAATGAGATATGATAGAACAATCTGGTGTTTTTTTTCTCTTTTCCTTCAACACGCGGTCCAATTTTTCCTAGTTACGACTAGTTATAATGTGAAGTAAACAGAAAATACGCAAAACAAATGAGTCATAGTCATCTAAACATTAGAAAGAAAGAAACACACCAAAAATCATTCCATTATTTTTCTTCAACATACAACTACAAACTATAAAAAAAGATGACATCACAACAAGCTGAAAAAGGTGCAAGGAGTACAGATCCTACTCGAATTAGTTCTGTTGGTGCTGATCGTTCAACAGGCACATCAGGTCAATTAGGATCAGCTTCGACAGCTGAACCAGAAGGTAGTTCAGCCTTGGGTGATTCTAATTTTGCCGGTATGAGCAGCATAAGTCCAGCATCGAATCAACGACAAAAGTCTGACGACAGTACAGCAACTGGTCAAGGTATGGGTGGAGCAGGAGAAGGACAAGGAGGAGCCAGTCAACCATGGAGTACATCATCTGGTGCACCATAATAACTAGCTGTTTTCATTAATAAAAGAATTTCTTTCATGTATATTATATAGTTATATGTTTAATCCTGCTTCTTGTCTTTACTTTTTGATTGTTATCTGAAATAAATCTATTGAGTTTATGAATTTTATTGAATGATGTATTTTTTATTCTTCATTCAAAAAACATAAAATAGATATTTTATTGAGACAAAAATAATTAATTACTTTCGAAAATGTTGCATTTAATAACTATCATTGATCTTTAATGGAGTGACTAGATTTCTTTTTTTTTGATCAATTGAAACTAAGTTTCTAAATTGTTTTTATTTTATACTTTATTATTCTGGGTTGCATAGCTGCTCAGTGAAGAGATTTGAAAAAAAGCTTGTTAGCGCGGCTCCTTTGGAGCTGAAATGTGGAACTCATATATATCCTTAAACCTTAATATTCTAATTTATCATATGTAAACTGAAAATTCTAGAAAGTTTACGCTCAATTTTCGAATTGTCTTTTTTTATTCGTTTCGGTTTTTGTTATATTCTTATAAAATACTTAGCTTTACTTTCTTCTCCTGAGTAAATGAACAGATGTGAGAATATCAGCACAATAAAAAATATACTTGATTATAGAGATATCCAACAGTTTCAAAAGACAATTCTTAAAAGATCGGAAAAGTGAAAATTTCGGATGTAATAAATGCCAAAATAAATCATCCAAAAGAAGAAATCTTGAGTATTCTTCGATGACTATTCTAGTATAGTAGATAGAGCATTAAAAAGCCTGACATCATATGCATTCACTCGATTTGATTATATTTAGACTGTATTTCGATCGTTATCAGTCAAGAAATCAACGGTTTTCTAGCAAAAGTAGCTCTCCATTCGAAGTTAAAAACATTCTAAAAAAAATCATGAAACCGTTCAGTTCTACAGTTTTCAGCATTCTTTTGATCCGTCTTCTTTTAATTTTTCTGGTGACCGAAACCATTTTTTCGCTACTATATTACGATCGAAATAGATAGATTTATTCGAGAGTTTTAAGACATACACCTGGTTACGTTTCTCTTTTCTTCATTTGGTACATACAATAATTAGTCTCCCGACTTACTTGATTAAGACAGGTCACAAAAGTTGATAAAAGTGACCACTTTGCTTTCCTGCGTGAGACCTATCTGATATTTTCTTTTTTTTATGCTTAAGTTACAAGAATGTTCGTGTTTTTCACTGGATTTTATGAAAAAATCTACTTGTTATCGGTTGATCTTTGGAGAAAAAAAACTTCTGATTTTTCTCCTGTTTGTTTAGAAAAAATCTCCTAATCAAATCCTGATTTATCAAATTTGGATTTGGTAGACCTGGAAGACATCCACTGTTATAAAAAAGAGAGTATTTATCTACATACATCTAAAGATTCCATTTCAGTTTGAAATCGAAAGCAATTATTTTTCAAAGTTCACATTGAAATTAAATTCACACAAATTTGAAAGTGGTACCTGAATACTATGTGATATAGTCACGGAAGACGAAACTTGGAAAGTTATCGAAAAATTAAATTAAAAGAACAATCTAAAGCATGGATAGTAAAAGAACGACAATAACAAATTGCATTAGATTGTATTGTGATAATGCAAGACTGCATATAAGTGGTAGTATTTTCAGTTATCTTCAAGACGAAAAGAAAGTTTGGCTAAAGCAATAACTAACGAGCTTCATTCAATGTCTATTCACGAATTCCAGAAACGGATTCAAAGGATGAAACTTTGTATTGAATATTTACTGTAAACAGATTAGCAAAATGTTTCTTCTACCAATAGATATTTGAAAGTGCACGAACTTTTTGATTACCCTCTACAGTCGAAGAATACGGTCAGTAATATCAGACGGCATAAAAAACAGTCATTTACGGTAATTGACAGTGATACATAATGAGTGACCTCGGTTAAGTATATCAATTGAATTAAAATTATTTTCATAGCTACTAATTGCATATTTTTATCTATGAATCTTATAACTGATAGAGACAATCAGGGCAGAAAGATAACTCATAAAGAGTGTGAATGCGACACACTCTAGCGAGAAATCATTTTTCAAATCATACAACTATAATATTTCTTCTAAAATCATGAATGAATTCGTATCAATTATCTAGTTCGATTACGGAATATGAAAACTAAAGATGAAAAATAATATCGATGTTTCTATGTATTCAGAGCACTTGCATACAGCATAGTTAATTTCGAAGGCATTCGTTTTATTGAAATATATTTTCAATAATGAATATATTGAAAAAGTATTTCTTATTTTGTACGTAAAAAAACTATAAATAACAGATATTTGTTCGACTGATCATATGACGTGAAAAATTCAATCAAAACTGAAACCGAAAACAATCTGATATCATTTTCAAGGTTATCAGGCATTATTTTGAAGCTTATTTTATTGACAATTATCTTTCTTCTATCATACTTTTTGTCCTTCGAGTTTCATATATTATTTACCAAAAGATCATAGGATGAAAGTTAATATTGTTCTCAATGCTATTTTTTTTCTCTGATAATATCATCATTGTTTCATTTTTATACAAAGATAATTCCTATTCAAATAAATTTATATCACTTTCCTATAAAAAAGAAGTCCAGTATCAACAAACGTATTCATATCGTTCTTTATATTTCTGACAACAACAAAAAAATGATGCTTAAACTCGCTGCTGCACTGCTCGTATTAGTAGTTGCCTGTCATGGCTTCTTACCCAATGTTGGTGGTTATAAAGATCGTCCAGATTTAGTTAATGATGATAAAGTTAAAGCTTTGACAAGTTATGCTGCTGAATATTTATCTAGAGCACAAAATCTTTTCCTTGCTAATCTTCGAATTATCAAGGTTCAAACTCAAGTTGTTGATGGATTGAATTATAAAATAGATTTTTCTGCTACACCTGTCAATGGTGCTCCTGGCCAAAAAACAACGTGTCAAGTTGTTGTCCATGTTCGATTTGATGCATCCAAGAACATCGCACAATCTCAATGTCAAACATCATAAAAGAAAATTTTCCTTTTTTCTTTTAAAATAAAATCATTTCAAACTTACAAATAAAGAACATATAAATTTATATAAATACGATTGTACCAAGAACGAACAGACTTAGATTATGTTTTCATCAATTTGAATAGCTAGTAATTTTAGACAAGATTGAAAAATACATTAAATTAAAAAAAACAATATTATTAATAAAGAAAAAAAAGGATAGAACATAAAAACGTTAATATATGTTTCTATTTAGACGAGAGATCGAAGAATACTAACGGGTGATCAAAAAAAAAAATTTGATAAAATGTTTATTCATTTTTCAGCAACTTAAAGAAGACTACAGAAATTTGAAAACATTGAGTTAGAATGCAAATTTTGTATTGTTTTCGAATTTAGGTTCAAAATTTCTCTGTGATTTAGGAGTTTTAGAGGTGTCAAAGTTGACGTTGTTCTGCAGCAATAGTCTTCTTTACTACATATGTTATATTATTGATTGTCTTGCATAGAATTAAAGACGAGATTATTTTCTATAAAGTGATATGAGACTCAAGAGTTTCACAACAATCATTCAGAAAATGATCAAACTCATTTTACAAGTCTGTTTCTCATAGAAATCGAGAAAATTGACACGATGTCCCTTACCAAAATACTCATAGTTGGCAAATGACTTAGAGCAAATTAATCATTAGTATACCATTCTATAGAGAAATGTTTGCTCTTTTATGCACTGTATTTCAAATAATTTTAACTTCTACTTTGAGTAAGCTTTGATATGCGGAAGCTCGTCCAAAACTGAATTTACAGGCCTCGAAGAGGTCGGTTCATAACTTTCAAGTCATTAGTTCTACAAAATTTTTGAGCCCACATTCGGAAAGAACATCAAATTCAGACTTTCAGAATTTTTGGACAAATCATCTTCGAGATATGATCCATAAAGCAGCGTCTTTACGCTAACAAACTGCTACATTGAAGATAATTCGTCCAAAAATTCCGAAATTTTGATTCTACAGCAAAAATGGGGTCCTGGTGAAAAACTATAGTAAAATGTCAGTATCTCAGTCAAATTGTAACTTGCACTCATATGCTCTTAGATTTTCTTCATTCGTGAGTTAACAGTGTATATCGATTTGACAATTTTTTACATAAAATTATTTGTTTTGGAAATTATTTAAACTTCTCGCTTAAATAGTCAATGTCCAATATATCATTTATTATGAATGGATTCGTAAAAATTTTCTAGTTGAGTGAGATATGTTCTTCTAATGTGAAATTTTTCTGTAATGATAATGTGCGTCATCTATTGAACATTTTTTAAAAACCAACCAGACTATTTTCCAGATTGTACAGCCATCCAGAAAATTTGTGTGTTATTTTTCTCGTATATTTTATTATGGAATTAGACTTACGTAAAACTCTTATTGCTACAAAGATTCAATCAATGTTTTCAGTGTTGAAGATCTCATAATTTCACTATTCCTTGTTTTTTCTTTAACAAGAAAATTATGATCAGTTTATTGTTTTAATTTTATTCAAAAACAGTTATTTATTATTTAAGATGTTAGATAAATTTCTTCTTATTCGACCAGCACCATTAACATGTTTAGTCTCGATTTGTAAACGTTATGTACGTACAGCACCACCAGTAAATCCTCCTACTCCTGTTGAATTACCATCAGCAACTATCAAAGAAGAAAAAACTGTTATTGATTCAACAGGAACCGTATTCACATTTAAACATGGGTATACTTATTATATTGTATTATTTTTCAAAAATAAAATTTTCTAATTCTTATCTTAAGACCACCTCCTGATATAACACCAGTCGACGATTTAGGTCCCTATGAAATTCGTTTACAAAATATTGGTTGTAAAAATCGTCGATTTGATCGTATTGTAGTTCAACGAATGAAACATTCACCAAATGCGAATGAAATTATTGAAAATCTCGGTTCATATGATTCAATGCCTAATGATAAAAATGAAGTTTTAGTTGCACTTAATTTAAAACGACTTCGATATTGGATTGGTACTGAAGGTGTTGTTATTAATCCTTGGGTACAAAAATTACTTGGTAAAAAAATATTTCTATTAGTTTTATTTTTTATTCAAATATAATGATTTGTTTTCTTTTTTTTTTTTAATTCAATTAGGACGTTGTGGTTTTTTTCCTGTTGATCCTGCTGATTATGTTAATGCATATCGAGCAAGAAAAATAGCTGAAAATCGTTTAAGATATCCAGAAAAAAAAGATGAAGAGGAAAAACAAGAAGATACAGCATGATGTTTTGTTTTTTTTTTGTTTTTTTATGATACATTTTTTGTTAAAATTCAGTTTAGAAAATTTTCTTTGATAGATATTTTAGATAAAAATGTCACTTGTAAATTATGAAGGTGATTCAAGTGAAGAAGAAGATAATAATAATGATAATATTCAAGCAACAACAACAGATTCAAAATCATCAATGACTCGTCGACTTCATCTGCCAGCTCCTTCACATTCTTCATCAAATATAATCATCGATGATGATGATGATGATGAATATCCTATAGAAACAAATACTCAATCATCTTCTACTCTATTAGCAAATCTTCCTAAACCTCAAGATAGTTCTTCATTAAATACAAATATAAATCCAACTGAATTTATTGAATATGAATTAGAAGATATTGTTCGTGGAGATAGTAAAGAATATGCAAAAAATATTCCTCAATTACCAAAACCAATCAAACGAAAACGTGATGGACCAGTTAAAATTTTTATTCCAACTATTGAAGAAGTAAAAATAATCATCTCATTTTGTTTTTCTATCTAAATATATTTTTCATTCCAGGATTCAGATGAAGAAGATAAACCAAAAAGAAAACCAACCACTACGAAACGAGTAAGTCATTTCTTTCAGGAATGTTGCCAGATGATACCTTGCGTTTGAGATAAGACCCCACAATTATTACGTAGGGCTGTTGAAACTAGAAGGACTTCTAAATATTTCAGCCAGAAAGATTGTTCTCTTCTTGAGATATCAAATCCACAAAAAATCTAGATTTTCATTCTTTTACTGGAATATCATATGTTTTTGTGGACTTGATATCGCGAGGAGAGACCAATCTTTTCGGCTGAAATTTTAAGGAGATTTTAATAACTTCAAGAGCTATTTATGGGTAAACTTTTAGGCCATTACATAGGGAAGAATCCTTCGAAGTTTCTTCTAATCTCATTTTAAACACGAGATATCACCTCAGATGGTTCTCTTGTAAACAAAAGTTAAGTGCAAAAAATAAAAGTCACCTTGTCATATCCTTTGAGACATGCTCTATCTAATGGTGAAAAGCATTCTTTTTACAAATTTTAGCTTGAGACATTCCTAATTCCTCTTTATCAGAATTTTTAAAACTATCAATTATTTTATAGAATTGTGCATTATTGGATGCACTTCCTACTCCAATACATGATGAAGATAAACCAACACCAAGTTTATCTACAATTAAAAATTCCTCAACGACAACTCCTCAAATAAGTTCAACAGGTTTATTTATGCCATATACACTTAATAAAAAACAACAACAAAAGAAATCTTCAACAACGATATCTAATCAATCAAATGAACAAATGAAAAATGATAGTGATATTGAAGATGATAATAATGATCAAACAGATTTTCTTGGTTTAACTAAATCAAATCAAATTCAAATAACAAATACTGATGTTGAAAGTGTTTTACGTGAAACTTTTCCAAAAGCCCGACCCACTGTTATTGAAGAACCATCATTACCAAATCCATCAGTAGAATTTGAAGATCTTGATAATAATGATGAAGAAATGAATAATCAACAAATCAATAATGATGATGAAGTAAATCATTTTTCATAATAATTTTTATTTTTACTTTTTTCTTTCTTTCTTTCTTAAGCTTTTACGTTATCTACCGAAAAGTGAACATTATAAAAAAATCAAACATGTACACATTGATTCAATGTTAGGTGACAGTGCACGATTACAATTACTTAAAAATGCAACTGAAGAACGTGAAACTATGATGGCACAAGCAGCAATTCATGTACCTAAAGGAGAAACGAAAAAACGAGGACAACTTACTTATCTCATTGCTAAAGTAAATAAAAATCTATTCATTATATATAGTTTATTTATTTCTTTTGTATTCTAGGCTCAGCATGATGATCTTCAATTGAAAAATATGTGGAGTGAACAGAAATTAACCAAAAGACAAACTCAAGCTAAATATGGTTTTTGAAGGAACTTCTTATTTTTTTGTCCTGTTTATATTTTTCTTGTAAAATGTACTTCTGTGCGTATTAAATCATCTATTTCTATCACGATTAATATTCTTTGAAAAAAAACAACAATAAAAAGAACTTGATTCGATAGAAAATAGTTATTTATTATCATAGGCGATGGGCCCATCAGGATTAGGCAGACGTCAGCCTACCCTAGATTCAAGTATTGTAGGTTGATGAGGGAAGTATCCAAATTGATTAATTACTTCTGAATCAAAATGATGTGCTTCATGTAGACCTTAATGAGCTATGAATACGTTGAAAAGAGTTCGGATTCTTAGCTTCTTGCCGCCGAGATATTGAATTTTTTTAGCACAATGTCGTGGTCCCCTTCAGGAACATAAGGAAAACTGATCTTCGAATTTCAATTTGAAACTTTCGATATAGACTGATCTCACCAAAAATAGTTTATTGTAAAAATATCAGATATTTTCGTTGTTTCTATCCCAAGATACATCTATGATAAAAGTTTGTCTTTTACACTGCTTATATGCACCGATAGATATTATGTTCGTATTTCAGGAAAGGAGCAAATTAAAAGATCGGGAACTTTTACAATAAACTATTTTGGTTAAAATCTGTATTTGTACAAAGTTTCAAGTCGAGATTCGCAAACGAATTTTCTTCATATGGCTGAAGGGACCACAATATTGACTTTAAAAAAATCCGTAAAAATGCAATATCCAGCAGCTATAAGTTAAGGATCCAAACTAGAGATATGTGGGACGGGGATTACGAGAAAAAAAATTTGCCAGGACCGGATCCTATAAATCATATGAATCAGAGCATAATTCAAGAGAGATTATCCAAAAAAAGTTGTTGAAGTATTATTTTAGATGTGATACAAACCTATAGACCAAGACTGAAAAACTTGGGACTAAATGTTGGATCCTACATTGCCAACGACTTGAAGTAGTACTTCTTCGTTACAAGTGAATAAGAACTATGCGGGAAACTCGAGTTTCAAACTGTTAAAAGTTTTTCTTTGTCTTCAGCGGCTAACGAGGGAACATTGCCAGATACCGAAGCATTTTTCAGTCGGGATTTCGCGCATCTTGTAGTCCATAGTGAGCTGTGTCTATGATTAAAAAAGTTCGGGTTTCTGGCTTGTTTATGAGGAGATATCGAGCTCCTAGTGAATTTTCTCTATAGTACGCCTACATTGGCAGCAAAGCTATACTTTCGAATTTTGATCTGAAACTTTGCCTGCATAAAGGCCTCAGCTAGACTAGTTTGCATAAAAAATTTCAGAAGTTTTGAGTAAAATCTCTCTAAGATATGAAACTATCAAGACATAGTCCCTTTTTCATAAATAATATATATAGTATGCATTTTTCAAAGCTTCGTATTGTAGAGAGCTTTTATTTAAAATTAGTCAAAGATTTCTGACAGTCAAAATGACAAAAACAGATAAGATAAAAATGGATTTTATGAGGGAGTACAAACGATTTTGCTTATAGCGAGCTCTTCTTTTTTGTGAACTTTGTTGTTTTCGTAGCTTTGAGGTGATTAAAATGAAGACAGCATAAAGAATTAGATACCAGTCTATTCGATAAGCTAGTTTTACCTATAACAGCTCAAAAATAGATGACCATAAATAATAAATCATATAGATAATTAAACGAAAAATTGACAGTGTTCTTTAGAATCACATGGGAAAAGCATTGTACCAATAGTTGTAGAAACGATTGTTCGTTTTTTAATGAGATATCTATTTTTTTGATGATCGACATTTGTAGGTTTCCATCGTATTGCCATCTAGTTTCTTTTCTCTTTTTGAATACTGCTGCTTCATTATTATTCTGTTTTCCAGTAAAATAGGACGAAAACTCTTCTTTCGGGAGTCGAAATAAAATGGCGACAAACGTTGGTGTGGTTCTTTAAGTGCACATTTTTTCTGAACTGCAATAACTTTACAAAGTGCAAAATACTAGTTGGAAATAAGAAGCACTAACTGTCTTTGAGCATGTTCCAGATTCAGTACGTTCTGTTGTCTATGTTTTTTTATCGTAGAAAGACAACTCTTTCTATATACATATCTTATTATTGCCTGTATTATTTTAAAAAAAAATGACTATCAATATTATTTTTGATTTATTCAATGTGATGATATATTAAATTTTTGTTTTTCTTTGTATTGTTCTTCGGATTCCAGAATTCGACGTGAAAAAAAGATTTCGAAATTATCATTTAAATCTCGAGCAATTTCCTTGCCGTTGTAATGAACACGTTGTACCCATAAAACATTATCTTTAGGTGCATCATTTATATGTACAAAAGCAACATATTCTTGTGGAAATCTATCTAATTCTACACTCATTTCGTCATTCATATATTTATCTTGATATACAGGATTTTTTAAACGTTCATTAAGATGTTGTTGTACAAGTGCAATCGTTGAATTTTGTTTATGCATAGATACAAGAGGGCAATTGATGTCAACATATTTATGAAGAGCACCATCAGGTAATAATTCTGTTGGTCTTGTAGCAAATAAATAAGGAACACCATAACCATATTCATCCATAGCTGGAACAAGAATAATCTCTTCTTCTTTAGGATCTGTTACTGTATTATTAAATATGAAATTTGTAATCTGGTGTTTTGACCACATTTGTTGAATTTGAGCCCAAATACCTTTTTTAGGTAAACGATATATATAAAATGCATCATGTAATCGATTTCCACTGAATTCAATGAGATCACCTGTATGCATTTGATATTGTTCATCAATTGAAAGAACACTGGTTAAATCCAATGATTCATCATTATTGTTGTTTAAATAATAATCTGTTTCTTCTTCAGAATATCCTATAGAAAATACATAAATATCAATTCAAATTTCGATATTAAAATTCTATTTTTTTTCTTACCTGTTGGATAACCTAAGATTTTATATAACATCTCTTTTCGTGCATGTCGATTAGCCGGCAAAATGTTAATAGCTTTTTGAAAACGTTCTTTCAATTCATTAATTTCAAACCATGTTTCGGTTAAACTTTTTTCGTCTTGTTGACTGTTATCAAGTAGAAAATTAACACAAGCTTGACTCGAAGCAATATCAACTTCTGTACAACACTCATCAGTATGAACATTCATTTCTTTTAATTGTTTATCACTAAATAAACTTTGACAAAGTAATGTACGAACCATCGATTTCCATGGAACATATGTCAACGGAATATTAGCATTACGAAGTTGTTCTTCGATTTTCTTGCGATAACGTGCCATACAATAAAAATCATGATATTCATTTAAGTGAAACCATGCTTTTTGTAAAAGACCAGAATCAAATGTTCTATATTGTGTTGCCATGGGCTAAGAGTATTGCACAAATGTGGTGCAACAAAAAAAGAAAAAGAATGATTCTTTATCAAATTTAATGCAGTGTGAAATGCAACATTTATATAGTTGCTCACGTACGCATTTATCCTCCGTACTGTGCTGTAACAAAATCTGGACTTTGTGTCGCGATGATCTAGAGACTGGCGAGCCACTATAAAAAATATTTTTCAATCTTCCATATAAGTTTTTGTTCATCTTCAATAAGTTTCACAAAACTATGATTTGGTCTCCATCTTTTACCCGAGATAATGAAAACCTTCTACAGAACAGGATCGGTTCTAGATGAAATCATTTATCGTTCTTACGTTAATTCAAACTCCATTGCCGAAAACTCAGATCGCTTCGCACCGAATTCATATATCTATATCATTCGTTTTTTCAATCTTTAATATGATGTTTCATTTTATTAGAGAAAGCCATCCAAAGAAGACAGATTTTTGTCAAACATCGAGATAATTAAAATGATGAGAGTAACCAAATTTTGTTAATACTCGTTTTACTCTTATCAAAAACAGCTATGAATAATCAATCAACAGTCTAGCTACTTTTCGTTTTCATTTTGATCAATTGATTGATGGATACATATCTTGGAGAGAGAAGCGTTTTATGATAAATCATCAAAATGATCATTTACTTTTTTATGACAGATCGATATTTTCGATAATCAACATTCCAAGCTTCGCAGTCGAGTGAAACTCGAATGTCGTAACAATTCTCATTCATCAATATAAAATATTCATTGAGTTTTAACATCTATTTCGATTACTGAAAGGCAAAAAATATACGAGAATAATTAACTTCCCGACTAAAATCATAGTTTTTTTCAAAGGATTCTTTCATTGCATATAAAACAGCAACATGTCGATCGTTGTAAAAAAAAACGGTAGTGCATTGTTCTTTTAGTATCATAAAAGAAGTAATTTCTAAAGTTTCTAGAAATAATTTTTTTTTATTTGTACCTCATCGTTCTTCTACTCTTATTGACGACGATAAAAAAAAACAGTGCCCGGCTGTCAATCACCGGTAAAAATATTTTGAGAAAAAAAAGAACTAATCAATCTTTTCTCTTTCTTTATTTTGGAATATCTATTTTATAATTTCTGCTCATACAATTAAAGACAAATTTAAGATTTGAAGAAGAACATTTTCAAGATAAGTCAAGCCTTATCTAAAACACATTGTTATTAACCAGATGGCGCTATTGATGATTAAATTTGCCAACAAAGAGATCGTTGTTAAGCAACTTTGTATTTCAATGGCAATACGATCGAAAAAAAAAACTGTTGCATCAACCCTGAACAAAAACACTTATTTTCAAGTATACACATAGGTTACCTTTTTTTTTTTATTTTATTCTTCTATTATATGTTACGAAACAAAAAAAAAAGTAGAAATCAAGTTCATCTATCATCCATTTTCAGATTTATTTTTTCTCGAATGTATGAAATAAAATTTTGATAATAATGTACAACGGACGATCACATACAACTAACCAGAATGGCCCTACTGCGAAGACAAAATCTGTTGACAAATCTAAGGTAAACATGTCCTATTGTATTTAAACAAATATCAATGATATTCTATATTCAAGGCATTAGTTACAACACCTTATTCAAGCAGTGTCGCTAGGCCGTTAGCACCTTGGCCTCGTGATCAAGGTGAAGTGTCGGACTTGTATAAAGTAAAATTCATCAAAAAGATGTAAAAGAAAAAAAAACCAACATAGAGATCGTATTTGATTAGGTTGTTCTTCATCATAATACTCACCCTCCATTAGTTCAAACAGATTCATGGACAGTAGCTGCACCATTTAAAGAACAAAAACATGTTCGTACAGCTGTCGAATCAATTGCCAATAATTTTAGTCCACAAGCACAACGTTTAGATATACGAAAATTACCACAATCTAAACAAACAATACCATACCCAGGTGATGGTTATTATCGAGGAGGTAAAAATCTCTTACACTCTCAAGAGATAAAATAGTATACATTCATCTTGATCATTTTCTAGAAAAGGGTATATTAGTTGTTGTTTTACTGGTTGTTAAAATGTTGTACTTGAAAACATGTTGTTTTTTTTTTGTACACTATTACTCACTTAACATTACTTTTGTTTTCTTTGTTTTACTTTTACAGCTAATGGTAAGTAGCTGTTTCTACTTGCTTCTTCTATTCATATAACTAGTTTCTTTTTTTGCTTGACATATGATGCAATAAAATAATTATTAAATTTTCTTATTTTTTGTTTAATTAGTTGATGAATTTTTAAAACGAACACGTGAAGAACCAGGAACGCCACGTTGGATACAAAAGAAACAAAAACGTGCACAAGATTTGCGAAAAGAAAAGTAAGAGAAATTCTTTCATCTTATTAATAGAAATCTAACCAGAACTATTAAAAACAATAACACCATATAGAAGAAAATATTGAATAGAAATGTAGTTTTAATCGCCGGTAGCGGTGAAACCTATTGATTAACCTTAATGCTCTGTCACCTAGGAATATATTTAAGGTTAAAATAATCTGTCCTTGAATTTATATTTACTATTATTATTATAGAGCTGAAAAATGGGTAATGCCTCCATCACGTCCAATTTCACCAACAGAACAATTAAATATGCTTTCTTGGCTCAATAGTGAAGAATCACGTTATATTCCTGAACCAAAAAAAGAAGAAGTCGAAGTAAATAAATTCTCTCTAGTATATTTTTGTTTTATTTTTATTTAAATCTTTATCTAGCGATATTGGTATTATATTACCAAAGGAGTTCAATCACGTATGGTTGCACCTGAATCAGCTGATCAATATAATAGATTTTGTTTACATCTTATACCAATACTTACACAACCATCATTAAAACCTATACATGATGAATTAAAAAATGAAATTCATACAAATTATGATCTTGCTGTTCGAAAAGCAATTGTCGATTATATTTTATTAGATCCATATGAACGACAACGTGTTAAAATTCAAAATGTACCAAAAACATTTCGTTTACATACAATACGTGCACCAATATCATGGCATGATACAATGGAAGAAACAAAAAAATATTTATTAGTAACATTACATACAAATAATCCAATAATGACATTTTTACAAACACTTTGGGATGAAACATATGTACAACAACGATTAGTTAGTTTTCAAGATCTTATTCAAGCATCATTACCAATGATACCACATGATTTTGAAAAATTTATTGAACAACGTGTTAATCAAATGAGACAAACTCTTATAACACAGTAAGTTTAAATTGATTTCGAATCTTAGATAGATGCTTTTGTGAAACACGATCTAAAAGAAGTATGGAAGTATAGGTGTAAAAATTTGGATCTACTAATCACAGCCTATGATAGACGTCAGCCAGTAGAGCCTAGTCTGTTAGGTCCAAAATTTTTGGATCCGAGCCCAACCTGATCGGTTCTACTAGCCAGAGACGATCAAAGATCATATATCAATAATGTCTCCTTCTAATATATATAAACTACTTCTTTATCACAATTTCTGAAAGATTAAGTAAAAGCATAGTAAAGAAATGTGTCCCTAAGTAGATAGAATAAAGCAATCTTTCTATGATTAGCAAGAGTAGCTACATCGTGTTTCACATTTGAATCTCGCAAGGATTGTACTAACAACTTGTTTTTTTTTTCAGATGGCTTAATAGTTGTAGTCGAATAGTTGCCGAAAATCGTCAATATTGGGAATCTATGGTTCCGATGGACGATGATGGTAGTACAGATTTAGTTGAAGCATTTTTTAATACAGTTGCTTCTCGTATGGCTACACATATACGTCAACTTGTTGATTCTTCACTTGAAGATTTTGCAAAATTTTTTGAAGAATATTCTGATGGAAATGATTTTAAAACAACTGATCCAGAATCTATATATCATGTTATGGATTTTACACGAAAACCAGTATTTATACAACGTTTATATGCTGATGGACCAAAAATAGCATTTGATCCAACAAATCAAGAGATACGTTCAATGCTTCAACGTTGTATAAAACATATTGTTAATGGTGCTGCTAATATATCACGTATTGAATCACATTTATTTGATTCAAAAACAAAATTACTTATTCGTCATGTACGTATTGAAGAAGAAATTGTTGAAAATATAACACAACGTGTATTATATGTATTAACAAAAAATACTCCAGGACCACAATTATATTTACATGAATATGATCAATATCAAACATTATTAAATAATAAAGCTGAATCTGAAACAATTGAATTTCTTCGTCATCCACATACACTTGATGAATTTGAATTTGAAATAAAACAAAAAACAGAATTAGCTAATGAAATTATGCTTAAACGTATATGGGCACCATTAAATTTATTTAATTTAGATTGTCGTGATCTTAATGATCATTTAATAAAAATTGTACAAAAATTACGAAATAAATTAGTTCAACATTGTATTGATGATAATTCAAAATTAAATAAAGATATTGTTCGAGAATATGATGAAATAGCTGCAACTGTTAGTGTACCAGCTGATGAAACTGAAGAATTAGTTAAAACAACTGATTATCTTACTAAAGCATTAGAAACTACAGTTTATAAATTAGCTCATAAAATTGGAGAAGCAAAAGATCGATTAATGTTTTTATTAGAATATGCTCTTATGTCACGTAAATTTAAAAGATTTATTTTTAAAAAGTAAAATTTTATTTATCTTTTTCTTTTGTTTTTCTTATAGCGGAAGATTTAAAACTTAATGCACAAGTATTTCATTGGCCAGAAAATATAATGAATATTTTAGAACTTAATCAAGGTCGATTAGCAGCTTTACGGTAAGAAATGACAAAAAAAAAATTTTTTTTTTGCTTTCGTTTTTTTATCTCTAGTATTAAAATTTTAGTGAACGAGCTGAAGAACGTTTACGTGATCACATTCTTAAATTTGAAAAGAAACTTGAAGATTTACAAAAAGATGTTGATCTATTTC